ACGATGTACTGCTTGTCCTGCTACATAAAAAAAGTAAACAAAGAAGGTTTTGGGTCCATCCTATATTGAAAAGAAGGAGAGAACATGGCGAGTTTCATCGGTTGGTACAGGAACTGAAGTTGTATCATGGTCGCTTTAGGACCTATTTCAGGATGTCTGTGGGACAGTCTGAAGAGTTGTTGGTGCTGTTGACCCCCCACACGATGAAACAGAAAAATAATTACAGGGATCCGATCGACCCAGAACAGCGCCTGGCCGCATGTCTGATGTAAAAAAAAAAAAAAAGATTGTTTATTTGTAATGAAATCAGTTTAGTTCACAAGCAAGTGAAGATCCTCTGCTATCTGTCTCCATACGTTATCTTTGTATTCATTATCTTTGTACCTTTTGTACTTTTTATCATAGATAACTGAATTCGCTGAAACAAATTGGATTAAGCGGTCTGCCATGTTGAATTTGACGTGTCAACAAGCTGCATTGTGATTGGTCAGAGGTGCTGCCGTCGCCGCGACGAGTTGGAAAAATCGACCCGGAGGCGAAAAAATTAATGTCGCTTTTTCTGTCGCGAAATTACGTAGGCGGTCTGCAATGTATCATCGACAAGTTATTGGTTCGAAAAATATTATTGATGCACGAATAAATCGCACGTTAAATTCGCGTCTGGTGTGAAAGGGCCTTAAGTCCCTGTGAAAAATCCCCAAAATCTCTCTTTTCTTCACAGATTTTAGGACACAAAGACCTGACATCACCAACACAACGATATATTGACAGCAGGGTGGTACGAACCCAAACTGAGGGAGAGTGGCTGTCTTTTGATGTGACAGAGGCAGTGAGTGAATGGCTGAACCATAGAGGTAAGTGTGCATTCCTCCTTTCTAGCAGGTTCCTCATCATCACTCACTGCATATATTACACTGCCATAACTTTTGTTTCTCCACAGACCGAAACAGTGGATTCAAGATCAGCCTGCACTGCCCATGCTGCACGTTTGTACCATCAAATAACTACATTATTCCCAACACGAGTGAGGAGCTGGAGGCACGGTTTGCAGGTTATCTGATTCACAAAATTAAAGAATAAGTCTGGTGATATTCTGTATTTTATTGCTGAAAACACTTAGCAGAAGGCATCTGGACATAGTTTTAGGGAGAAGATGTTTCACCTCTCATCCAAGAGGCTTCAACAGTTCTGCCTGACTGGTGTTGAGCAGGAGATATTTATTCCGCTGGGTGGTGTTTCAGTCCTTCAACAACTGAGACATTAGTGTTGCAGTCCTTTGGTGGCCAACAGTGTCCTCTAACAATTAAGTCATTAGGGTCTGGTATCAGTGAGAGTCGTTACCTGGCTTTGAAACCTCACATGTGGACCAACACCTGTTGTCCTGGTGTGAATTGGGGTGGAAATGTTTAGAGATTTCAAAACAGAGTTGTAGATGGATAACAAGGTACAGTATGTCTGAGTCCACCACCCCTATTTAGAGAGGGGTGTTCTACTTGGACAAAAATATCTTCCTTGACTCCCCTCTCAAACCAGCGATGTTCTCTGGAGAGGATCTAGGCTTCACTGTCCTCAAAAGAATGTCCTTTGTCCTTCAGGTGGAGGTGGACTGCTGACTCTGGTCCACCTGGGTTGGCCCTCCTGTGTTGGGCCATGTGTTTGTGCAGCGGCTGTTTTGTTTTCCCAGTGTACAGGGGCCTATTTCAAGAAGGCGGTTTAACAAACTCAGAGTTCAAACCTGACTTACTCAGAGTTGGAAAACTCGGAGTTTTTGGTTTCAGAACAACTGAAAAGAGTTGGTTTAATCAACTCTGAGTTGTCTGACTCAGAGTTAGGCGCGTGCCACGCGACTATAGTATTAAACACCTTTCACTTTAAAAAGGGGCGGAGACCCGGAGGAAACTCTGAGTTTCCCGAACAAAACCTGCTCGCCAGCAGGTTAGGTTCACAGAGTAATTTGCCGTAGTAACTGACTCTGAGTTTAGATTACCTCTCTTTGTGAAACAGGTTTAACTTACCCCGCTTCACGGGTTTAAGTTACCTCCGTTTCTGGAACCGAAAACTCAGAGTTGCCCTCATTTCTGGGTTAACAAACTCTGAGTTTCGACAAAACCGCCTTCTTGAAATAGGCCCCAGGTCATTACACTCCTGACTACATTTAATTGCATACACCACATCACTCTGTGTCTGGGTGTTTAGTCCTTTAGGTAGACCAGGACTGAAACTCCAACATATCAGTCCTTAGGGGACATTGTTGGCCATCAAAGGACTGAAACACCACCCAGTGGGATAAATACCTCCTGCTCACCACCAGTCAGGCAGAACTGATGAAGCCTCTTGAATGAGAGGTAGAACCTAAAACTACATCCTGAAAGAAAGTTTTTTTCAGCATACTATGACCTGGATGACTGAGAATTTGCACAGATCTGTATTTTATTACTGTCCAATAAATAAATAAATAAATAAAAATCAATAGACCAAAACCAACAGTGTGTCACTCAGCACTTTGACTTCCCTGAGTCTGATTTAACATATACATGTTCTCTTAACACCAGTAAGATGATACTGCACATATAGTAATTTTGTGCTGGTTGTTCATTAGAAGGGGTGAAGTGAGCAAGCAGGCTGGACTCAGATGGCAGACAAGCAAAACTGATCAAAGTCTTTATTACAATAGTAATGCAGGTAGAAAGAGAACACAGTCAATGTGGTTGATGCAGTCTGACAGAGAAGGCCAGGGTAGGTGGAGAGAAGGCCGAGTAGTAGCTTCGGAAATGATTCAGGGTTCCGGAGCAGCAGAGACAGAGCAGGGAGAAGATAAGTGTCACATCTGAGATGTAACCTGCACTGACCTAGGAGTTGGGCTGAGTGGCTGGCCAGGAAGCAGAGGCAATAGAGAGGCTGGGGGTAGCAGATCCCACTTTGAGGAGGCAGGCAGGCTGAGGCAGATGCACTAGGGCAAAGACAGCTGTGGCGTCAAGGAGCTGAGTGCAGGGTCCGCGTGCAGACTGGCCTGCGTAGACAAGGATGCGTAGCCGGAAATCTCAGACGAGGTGAGTTAAAGCGGCAGAGCTCAGAGAAGGCAAGTAGCTGCAGGGGGGGCTTGTGCTGAGCCCGGCTGGGGGAGAGACGCTGGGTGAAAACAACCAGGAAGTGGTGGTTGCCGGAGCTCAGGAGGTGAAATGTCACAGAGGTCAGTCGACTTGTATTGCCAGGAGAATAATACAGTCTTACTTGAAAGAGTATCAGAGTACTAGAAGTCTCGATGAAGAATAGTGTTGACTCTCTAATAGTGTGACTCAACGTAGCATGGCCAAAGTGTAGAGCAGAGAATCCTCAATGTACTGGCAACGAGGGAGCGTATGCCAGCACTTTAAGTAAGGAAGGAGATAATCAGGTAATGCGCCTTAGCTGTGTCACAGCCTGGAGGACAAGAGAGAAGGAGAGAGAAAGGTGAAGAAAGAGAAAGATAGCAAGAGAGGCAGGTGGTGCCGAATAAACCTGACAAATTTTCATTCATTGGTTGGACTGGATGAGGCCATTAAACTCAGTAGAGATATTCAAGGGTGCAGTTTAACCACTTGGGTTATTGGGATCTCTTCACATGGCTTCTAGCACTACTCAAAGTTCCACATATTCAGTATCTATTTTGTGAACTGGCACAAATTTGATACATTCATTTTATGTAGTGCCATCATTAGGTCAGTATTTTAATTAGTACTGAAAACTGGTTTATGGCTGAAACTAATGACATTCTGAGCCTGAACTGCACTTTGCTATTAATTATCATGTTAATAGTAACATACTAAACAACAATGGTGTCCATGATTAATATTATAGCAGTTAAACAGTTATCACTGTGAACCTGTGAGCATGTAGATGAAAGCCACTGTGTCTGAGTAATCTTAAGATTTTTAAGGCTTTTTATACTTTATATCTGTTTTGAATGGTCAAACATGAGGGTGGGCTAAAAGCCCATGCAGCAGGATAATAAGCATCCATGATGTTGCACTTAGTTCTACACATGAAAAGTGACAAAAGGTAGTTTTGTAAAGGCTAAGTATGACAACTTGAGTTCAACTTCAAACATTGCCTATTTTCACAACAGAAATTGCTTAAGTTTTCTTTCAGGAAGGGTACGTGGATGTGGGAGGGGCCACTTCCTTTGAAACATGTTAGTGTGTATTCATTCATAAATGTTGACTATCTGTTCATTAATAGAACTACTTACATGAGATGTAGCTTATGGATATCTCTGTTATGTTTCCAGGTATTGATGACAGCTTTACCCATGGCAGTGACCTGAAGGTATTTAAGAAGCAGAGGCACAGTGCTCGGGCTCCACACCTTCTTCTCATGCTGTTGCCTTCATACCGGCTGGAGTCCCAGTCCCAGCACAGGAACCGACGAGCCAAGAGAGCCCTGGATGCTGCCCACTGCTCCAAGTACTAAACACTCTTTCTCTAATCATATACACATATCAAGAAAAATTCACCTCCCTGGAACTTTTCCCTACTTGTTAACCAGAAATTTCAGGTGTCAGGAATCATGGTGAAAACCTCCTGTAATCTGGAGTGTTAGTAGCTATTTAAGTGATAAGCTATTAAATCTTCCCATGTTATACTATTTATATATGTGCTAATCCTTTATGGCAAAAGTTGTTTGAAATGTCAATTGTTTTTTATACACCGCAAGGACACTTTCTATGTTTTTAAGTATAAAGCCAAGGTAATGAATTTCGTTTGTGTGTAGAATGAGGCATGTGTCATTATGTTATAGGCAACTGAGGAAAAGCTTTCACACACACCATGAACCACGTTCTGATTATATACAGTCATGGCCAAAAAATATTTGCAACCAAATAACACACCACTTCTCCCAGAAAACTATTGCAATCACAAATTTTTTGGTATTCTCATGGGGTTTTTTGTTTTTTTGTTGTTGTTTTTTTGCACTTGAACAACACAAAAAACTGAGGGAAAAAGCCAAACCCGATATATTCCACACAGAACTCCAAAAATGGGCTGAACAGAATTATTGACACCCTCAACTTAGTATTTGGTAACATACTCTTTGGACAAAACTCAAATCAGTGACTTCCCGTAACCATCAATGAGTCTCTTGGACCTCTACTGGAATTTTGGACCACTCATCTTTTGCCAGGTACTCCAGGTCTCATAGATTTGAAGAGTTCCTTCTCCCAACTGTGGTTTTGAGATCTCTCCAGAGGTGCTCCATGGGATTTGGACCTGGACTCATTGCTGGCCACTTCAGAACTCTCCAGCACATTGTCTGAAATAATTTCTGGGTGCTTTTGGGTCACTGTCCTTCTGTAGGACCCATGACCTCTGACGGGGACCCAACTTTCTGACACTGGGCTCTACATTGCGCCCCAGAATTTGCTGGTAGTTTTCAGATTTCATAATGCCATACACACTGTCAAGACATCTAGTTCCTGAAAGCAACCCAAAAATATCAGTGAACTTCAATTGTGTTTGACTTTAGGGACCATGCTTTTTTCTTTGAAGCCATAATTTCCAGCCATCTATCATCTATAGAGCTTATCCTATAACAGGCTGACACTGGGCGAGAGGCAGTGTATACCTGGAACAGGTCTATCACAGGGCTGACACTTAGAGACAGACAACCACACATACCCACACTCACTCCTACAGATAATTTAGAGTCACTAATCAAAGTAAGCTGCATGTCTTTGGACTGTGGGAGGAAAAGCTTCATTCTGTTTTCTGACAACAATAGGATGATGTGCTCTAATTCAATCAAATTTTATTTGTATTGCGCCAAATCACAACAAAAGTCATCTCAAGACACTTTACAAAGTAAGGTCTAGACGGGGGCAGCTATGGTTAAGTGGGTAGAGCGGTCATACCCCAACCAGAGGATTGGAGTCTCTAATCTTGGTGCCCGCAGTCCATGTGTTGAAGTGTCCTTGGGCAAGACACTGAACCCTGATGGTTAGAGCCATTGGTGTGTGTTGGCGCCACAGATGGCTGCCTCGGTTCTGTACCGGAAACAAATTCCTTGTGTGTATCATACTTGGCCAAATAAAGGTGATTATCCTTATCCTTGCTGTTATTATTATTATCAAGGAAAAACCCAACAAATCCCCCTTGAGCAGCACTTGGCTACAGCAGGGGAGGAAACCAGCTCTTGGTGGGCAGCCTTCTGCTTTGGTGAGTGGATAAAGAGAGAAAAGAAGAAAAGCAACAAGACACAACAAACAATCAAACACTAGGCAGGTTCATGTAGCCAGTGACTGCTCATCAGAAACATAGCGCTCCAGAGCCTGGGCTACCTGCAAAAAGGGACAGGGAGAGAGAGAGGACACACTACGGGGGAGAGGAGACACATAGTTAGTAATATGTAATGGTGGCATATAGGTGCATGGAGAGAGAGAAAAGAGGAGAGGAGCTCTGCACCATGGGACAACCCTCAGCCTAAGCTGAGGATGGTACTAAAGGATGGTAAACCAAACCAAAGTTATCCTAGCATACATGTCCAGTAATTTCATAGACACCACTACATGGGCACAAGCAAAGGCCATCCTGTTGACTAGAAACCACTGGTACAGTTAAATATACTCAGTATCAACAGGACAGCCCAGGCCCCCATTTTGCTTGCAGTTAACACATGCACATGCATAATTGCACATTGACTGTTGACTACTGCACATGCTGCTCCCATGTAGCATGCATTCTCTTATGATATTCTTATATATTTTTATTATATCTCTGCATTTGCTGCTTAAAGTGCCTTAGATTTTGTGTTACTTATTCATCTACTTTATATTTCATTTTTATTGTGTGGTATTCATGTGGACGGAAAAGTAAGAAGTTCATTGTACAGGGAAACGCGTTTCCTAACTGTGCATATGACAAATAAACACTTTGACCTCTTGACCTTTGACCATGATGGCTGTCAAGTCTTATCCCTGTTCAGCCACATTCGTTGTTCTGATGCCATGAAAAATTGGAAGCCATATAGCAACATACTAAATACATTTCTACCCTTCCTCACTGTCCTACTAGGATTATATTGAAACCAACAATATTATATTAACCTAACTATAAGCTTTATCAAAAAGGAAAGTCTTAAGTCTAATCTTAAATGTAGAGAGGGTTTCTGCCTCCCGAACTGAGACAGGGAGTTGGTTCCACAGGAGAGGAGCTTGATAGCTAAAGGCTCTGCCTCCCATTCTACTTCTGTAGACTCTAGGAACCACAAGTAAACCTGCACTCTGAGAGTGAAGTGGTCTTTTGGGATGATAAGGCTCTATGTGTCAGGTTTGCCCGGCTGCACCTGCCTCTCTCACCTCCCTCTCTTTGTCTGTGCAGATTCTCAGTCATCCAGGTCATAGTAAGCTGAAAAATCTTGAAAAAAATCAACTGGACTAGATTTCTAGGTCGAAGACGTTTCACCTCTCATCCAAGAGGCTTCATCAGTTCTGACTGACTGGTGTTGAGCCGGAGATATTTATCCCCCTCGGTGGTGTTTCAGTCCTTTGAAGGCCAACAATGTCCCGTAAAGACTGAGTCGTTATAGCCCAGTATCGGTGAGAGTCATTACCTGTCTTTGAATCCTCCCCTGTGGACCGGCGCCTATTGTCCTGGTGCCGGTCACCAGGACAATAGGTGCCACCACTCTTCCAGCCTCTACCAGCCAGGTCGGTACACAGTCGTCAGACTCCATTTGCTTACCACCCTTCTCTACTGTTTCCTCAGCCGTTACCACTTCCACCGGCCAGCCCAGGAGTGACCTTAGCATCCGCAGCTAGGCCAGCTTCATCTATTCCTCCCACGTACTGTTATTGCTGCTGATCAGCACCCTGTAATTCTCATTCCCATTTTCCTGTTTAGCCTTCCTTCTCACCTCACCTGTGTATATAGTCTGTATAGCACGAATAAATATTGCTTGCACTGAAGTCAGCCGTCTGGGTCCGTTCTTTTTTCACTCACTCACCCTCCCGTGTGTGAGCATTTCTAACACTATGAGGTCTTTAAGATACGATGGAGCCTTGTAATTAAGGGCTTTATATGTTAGGAGAAGGATTTTAAATTCTATTCTGAATTTTACAGGGAGCCAGTGGAGAGAAGCTAATATGGGAGAGACATGATCTCTCTTGCTAGTTCCTGTCAGTACTCTGGCTGCAGTATTTTGGATTAACTGGAGCCTTTTTAGGGACTTACTGGGATGTCCTGATAGTAAAGAGTTACAGTAGTCCAGTCTGGAAGTAGCAAATGCAGTATTTCAGCATCACTTTCGGAGTTGATGCTCCTGATTTTGGCGATATTGCGCAGGTGAAAGAAGGCAGTTCTAGAGACTTGGTTTATATGTGTGATTTAAAGGACATATCCTGATCAAAAATGACTCCAATGTTCCTCACAGTAGTACTGGAGTCCAGAGAATGTCATCTAGAATAACTATATGGTTAGATAGCATATTTCCAAGATTTTCAGGCCCAAGCACAATGACTCCAGTTTTGTCACAGTTTAGAAGTAAGAAATTACAAGTCATCCAGGCCTTTATGTCTTTAAGACATGCTTGAAGTTTGACCAACTGATCTGATTTCTCTGGGTTCATAGATAAATGTAACTGGGTATCATCTGCATAGCAATGGAAATTTATGCTGTCTTTCCTAATAATGTTGTATAAGGGAAGCACATAAGGTGAGGAGAACTGGACCTAACACCAGGCCCTGTGTAACGCCATGACTAATTTTAATCTGCATGGAATATTCATCATTAACATGAACAAACTGGAATCTATCTGATAAATAAGATTTGAACCAGCTAAATGCTGAATCCCAATAACACGCTATAGTTTAGTACAATTTTGTGATCAGTAATGTGAAAAGCAGCACTGGAGCCTAAAAAAGACAAGTATATAGATGAATCCTTTGTTTGAGGCTAGGAGGAGAATGTTGGCGACTTTCACAAATGCAGTTTTGGTGGAGTATGTTGGAGTCTAAAACCAGACTGAAAATCCTCAAACAAATCATTCTTGTGCAGGTGATCACATAACTGCTTTCCAACAGCTTTTTCAAGGATGTTGGAAATAAAGAGCAGATTGGGTATCAGTCTATATTTAGCTAGAACACCTGGGTCAAGAGTAGGCTTTGTAATTCCTCTACCTTTAAGATTAGACTTAAGACTTTCCTTTTTGATAAAGCTTATAGATAGGGCTGGATGAGGTGACCCTGAGCCTTCCCTTAGTTATGCTGCTATAGGCATAGGTTGCTGGGGGGCCATGATGCTCTGAGTTTCTCTTTTCTCCTCTCCCCCGTAGTGTGTCCTCTCTTTCTCTCTCCCTCCCTCCCTGTACCTTTCTGCAGGTTGCCCTGGCCCTGGAGCTCTATGTTTCTGATGAGCAGTCACCAGCCACATCAACCTGACCAGTGTTTGATTGTTAACTGTTGTGTTTGTTG